TGAAGTTTTGGGTAGATTCAACCGGCTGTTAAGCTGTTGTTCTTCATTACTCTGAAGGCAGTGTTCAACCGCATTACAGGAGCGCGATCTAATCGCGAAGTGTGAAAGCGCTCTAAGCTTCCTATGAAATTTTTTAATAGCAAAAATTTTTTCTTCAAGGTAATGTTATATGTTTTCCTACATGGATTCGTTTAGGTTGCCGTCACCAACGAGGTCTACGAGTATCTAGGACGCCCCCAGTTTTTCTTTTGCCCAACAGGTAGAAAGCACATTTTTGAAGTTTTCATTGTTTTTATGGCTTTTTTTCAGAATATTGTGAAAGCAGAGCAGTGCCATCACTAGAACATTCTGAATATCTAGCGACATTAGGAGAAGAGCTAATCAGTGATGTACATATTCTATGGACAGGTACATTTTTGAGAGTATTTTCTTGCTGTGCAATTTCATTCAGTTTTCTTTTCTACTGACAGGTCCCCGCGTTATTTCTCGAAATATCACTGTTGAACATATTCGAAATGTTTCCAAAATCCTTCGTCGTCGTCCGCTTATTTGGGACAACCTTCATGCGAATGACTACGATCAGAAACGAGTTTTCATGGGTGAATTTTCAGGTGAGACCAGTTTGAGTTCTGTTACCTGTTCTGTTTGTTCAATTTTTCGGAATTCCAGGTCGACCAGTTGCCCTCAAAAAAGAGACTGCAGGGATATTGATGAATCCAAGCTGCAAATACGAGTTGAACTTCGTCCCGTTGCTCACATTCGCCGACTGGAACGCAAGCAATGACGACTGTTTGTTGATTGGTTAGCGTGTTCTCTTTTGCATACTTAGAAGGCCACTACATTGCGCTGGTGATTTTAGAGGCGGGGGGGGCATTTTAAAGACTCCTAGTGCAAAAATGGATGAAACTCATCCAAATAGTATTGCTCTTGATTTGGTTCACTCACCCCAGAGCTCTTCCTTGTTCAGGCCTTAGCAGAAGTCCTCATCTCCATCTTGGAATCCCACCTTTGCGCAAGAAGTGCTCTCCTCACGTCAAGGTTGTTTTCTCCAGAAAACGTCTGACATGATTTTTTATGCCTTGGTAAAACGTGGTTGAGCAGGGGCAGCGCCTCTGCGTCTCTTCTCCTGACTAAGGCTTGAGCTTGTTGTGCGGACGACCAAAGTCGCATGGAGACTGTCTGCACTGCAGGAATAGCTCGCGACGACTCAGTACTTTTGCACGCTGAGAACTAAGCCTTGGTTAGGGGAAAGGAATTATGACGCCATGCACGTTGACGTGTTGTGGCCGACGGAGGGGGAATTATGTGGCCCTCTCCAAGTTTGCTAATCAGAATAAGACTCTGCAGATTTTCGGGTGGAAGTTGTCCGTATTCTAGGGAGGTTCAGCAGCAGTTTAGAGCCTCGGCCATGTGTTTTGTTGTCTGATGGAATCATTCAGAGATGTAACTAGCGATTGCATTTTCATCCGAATAAAAGAATCTGCTTCAGTTTGGTTCACCCACTTCCAGAGGTCCTTCCCGTTTAGGCTTAGGTAGAATTCCTCTCCATTGCAGTACTTCCCCCTCCAATATATCAGCGCCCGATTATAGATTCTGGGATGGTTTTCGTTCCCAGAATACGCCTACATACACAGGATATCGTGGCATTTGAAGAAAATATGATTAGAAGAAGCGTCTGCTACATGAGCTCTTTTTTCAGGTCCAAAAAATAACGGCGAAGAAAAATGCGTGTCTGATACAGGTGAGAGAAAAATGCGTGTCTGATAAAGGTGATGATAGTTGTGTTCCTTCACGAATCTACGATCCTTCGCAATCTCTACAGAAAGCTGTTGCGTTATGGACTGAAGAGTTTAACTGTGTCAGTAACCATCCTGTTCCCCCGTGAGTTTTGTTTTTTCTCGCCTTTGCTATGTTCGCTATGTTCTCTGTAAGCTGAAATCGGCTGTAACCTAGAGAGCTCTTTGTGCCTCCGTCTCAGCCATTAGCTCCGCGCTCCGCCACTCGCTTATTTCTAGTCCGGTGACTCTCTCAGGCCATCTTTCTTCAGGATAAGTCCTCGCCTTTGATTCATTGTTTCGGCGTATGCGGGCACGCACTCAACTTCCGGTCAAAATCGCAATGGCTTCTTGAATGCGATGTGGCCTAAAATGACTTGCGGGGCCACGCTTGCTTGGGCAGGAACGTTACGGGGTTTGAACTCAGGCCGCGCGCGCGGTATGCGTGCCTTGCCACCTACGCCACCCTCCGCCCCTATTTCTTTCTGTGTTGCAGATAACATTAAGTAAAGAGCCCTCGGCCATAGTCGCAGGTGTTCAAGGTCCCTCTATCGTCCCTAACCTGGCAGTGTTGCAGACTTTCGCGCTCTGAAAGCAAGGTGGAAACGACGTGTAGCACAGGAGATGCTGCGGTCATGCACGAGCGTTAGTTTCTCTTTCAATTCGTTTCGAAAAGTTCGTACATATTTAATTATAACCTTGCTTCTAGAGACTCCATTATCTCAAGAATCAGCCACGCAACTGGAAGAAATCTTAAAATCAGTCGTAATTCCTTCGGTAGGTGTCTTTCCCATTGAACGTATTACCTTCCCTACTCAAATCCAAAATTTCTCAATCTAAGCCAATTGATGAAGAACCTACAGTCAATTCCTTAACTGCCGATTATGGTGAGCCGATGGAAATTTCTGCTCCTTCGAAAAAGGTTTCACTTTTGGATTTTTTTTTCTGTGCTTTTTAAGGTCATGTTCTAGCATTTTTTTGACCTTTTTCGTATGGCTTTTCATATTTACTTGTCACAGTAGTCCTAGTGGCATTTCTTTGCCTTCTCTGAAGTGCGATAATTAGAGGAAAAAGCTCTTGTGAAAGCTAGACATGATAGGACGAAACCTCGGATTAGCCTAATGTTCAGGCATTTTATAGACCTAGATTGTAGACTCAGAAGCCGGCCATGGGGTAGGCGAGGAGAAGAGAGTCAAAATACAGCGAAGTTGGGTTGTGAGATTAGTTACTGAACACCGAAGAAAAATCACTGAAAACGAAAATTAATTGCTTATATTGAGAAAATCGAACAAATTATAAAATCAAGGGGTGCGGGTCGAAAGCAAGGGGGTGGCTTAGCCTCCATTTTTCAAGGTGCTATCTATGGATCCCAATCCCGTGCCCTCTGTTCCCATCTTCGGTTATGTTTTCCTTTTGCCTCCAAGTAGTTTCCTCTGTGTTCCTTTGAAGCTCTCATTCCATCCGTGCTAATTGCTGTTATTCGCAGTTAACTTTGTTTTGACTGCATTCAGTTGTTCAGGATGAGACCTCTGCGGATGCGGCATCTAACCCAGCAGAACCGTGCGATGTTGTGATGGCCGATGTGCATGGGTATGTTAGCAAATCATCGGCGTACATGTGTATTTCTTCTTGTCGGAGTTTTTTGGGTGTGATGTTTAGATTGGAACTGGCGGACGTTGATCAAGTATCGTTGTTGGTGGACATGTTCTATCTTCCATTTGAATGCGGTCGTAAAGCTTCTGATTTGTTAGAACAGTTCTATTGGCTCTACGACAACGCGTTGGTGATGGATATGTCGAAAGAGTGAGTTTTCAACTAGTACCTGATAGATCAAAACATGCGGTTTAGTGTGAGGCAGCGTCTTCAGTCGCGCGTTTGGCGCGATCGATGCGCATGCTTTTGACTGCATCGATCGTGTCGAACGCGCGACCGAAGCGCTGCCGTCGCGAAGTCTGAACGCTGCATAAGTGGACTGTGGTTGCCTTCTCTCTTTACCTCTTCTAAGGTTGAGCCGTTACGAAAAGGACGTTAATCGTTATTGGCATTAAACGCGCGCAGAAGAGACTGCAGAGACTCAGTCAGTCAATCGGCTCCATGGAATTCTCATTGGCGGGGCGCACGCGTCCCTGTTGGCTGTCGTGGAGAAGTGGAAGAGGGATGCACTAACAGTGGCTGGGGGAGGCTTGTCCATACGCGGCGCTCTTCGTATCCACTGGTTGAGCTTACCTGTATTTATAGGAGATCGCCGTCGCAGATCTGTAATGCGCGCCTCCTGGACACAGCCCCGTCAGCATTGCCGGGAGGACGGCAGCTGTAGCGAACGCTAACTAACGCATGGACGGGAGCGGAGGAGATTTGGGTGGTTGACTGGTTAATAGCACTGCGGAGTGGAATACAACTGAGAACGATATTTTCCATCTTCCACGATAAATACCTCCTTCTAGCCACTTTGTGCGTTCCTGTAGTAAGGTGGCGAGGGGGAATATGTTAGTATTTGTCTTGTTCGCTGCGGATGCTGGGTAGTGCCGGGGAGGCTGGGTTTGGCCCAGTGTCCAGCTTATTCTCTACCACTTATTGAGGGGGCAAACGGCGGCATTCAGTGGAAGTTGAGCTCGTGTTGCACGAACGCAGCTCCCCTGACAAGCTCCAGCGAACAAGATTGTGAGGTTGAACAAAGAGCCATCTTTTAGAGTGCAGTGTTGATCCCGCTGGTCAAGTCCAGCCCTCCCCCCGTCACGTCATCACCGACGTAGCTCGAGGCGTACCGCCAGTGATTTTTTTCCCATCATCAGTTGCTCCACTGTGTTTATCCTTCTTTCTAACTAGGTAGTGCCAAAATGTGCTACAATTTAGTAGTCTACGTATTTATAGAGCAGTGCATGGGATGCGAAGTGAGTGGCGTCGAAGATTTGATGAACTTGAAAGTACTGTTCAGACTGTGAACAAGTTCTTCAAATATATCGTTGACTGCCCAAATAAGGTATTGTTTTTTTACTGCATTCCGTATTCTGGTCCAGCAGTAACTGGGTTAAGGATGGCAAGCGTAAATTTTGAGCGTGAAAAACTTTCTTATTCCTCGCAGTGTGGGACAATAGGCTTTACAGAATATATCAAAGTTTCACTAGGCATGCCGTTCTCATTTGAGCAGTGCTGGGCACGTCGTACGCTGAGAATCCGGGGAGGGGGTTGTATTTAGTCGCTGGAGGGGGGGGGACGAACCTGCTTGGTTTGAGAGAATTTTTTGATAGCCAACCTTTCCTTTATTCACACGTGCTATCGACATCGTTGGGAGACTTCCTTGGAGGGGTGAGGGGGTCACATTTGTTCCCTCCCCCACTACTCGACAGCAAAACTCAGGAAGATAGTAGGTAGGTTAGGAGGCGATCATGCCAAAGGAGGAAATCGGTTCAGACGGTGTCGCATTTTGCGAGACTTTTCATGCGATAGCACG